TGACACCCACTTTGAGTCAAAAAACTTTGAACCAGTATCAGAGAGATACCCGCAGAAAAGCACAGAACAGCGATGACACCAGGAGCCATGGCAAATGCAGTTTATTTTGTGCACTGAGAGGAATGCAGAAGAGGCAGACAAAAGTAAAGCCACTGCTCCTGGGCTCTGTACCCCTTTCAGAGCCACTTCATTCACTAGGACTTCAAACCAGCGACCAAAACAAGTGGCACCAGGAGCTTTGCGAGCCATGCTCCTGGCTTGCACCCTCTCCATCCCAGGCGCAGCTGCTGGGAGAAGTCGAGCCGCCACCACCGGGAATGGGCCTTGGGGGGGTGGATTTGCCCAACTGAGCAACATGTCGCATTGGGGGGAGGGTTGCCCGCTTCGGCCCCCGGGGTCGTTCCTGCAACCTGGCTCAGCAGCAGCAGCTCCTGGAGCACAACTGCACCCCGGAGGCGAGCTGGCACCGCGCAAGCTCACCCAGCAAGCCCAAGGGGAAGAGGAGAACTGTGCCCAGGTGTCGCCTGGCCGCCTTAAGTGCTTTTGAACCCTTCCGGATGCTTATCCACCGCCGCTGTCGGCACCAGCCCACTCCCTGTCCTTATCGCCCTGCAGAAGTGCGGATACGCAGCAGTGCTCCCCGCCTGGCCGGCTTCTTGCATTTCCTTGGGGTGAGTCAGAGCAGGGCCAGGGAGATTTTTTTTTTCCCCCCCCATTGCAAAATGCATCTCTCTCTGAAAGAATTTTTTGGGGAAAAAAATTCTAGTTTTGGGGAAAAAAAATCTAAATGAGACTCCTGTCAGTTTTCCTGCTGCGCTTGTATAAACTGACACCTTGTCGCCTCCCCGAGCCGGTCTCGTTCTGTAATTGTGTTTACATCTTCCCCAGCAATAACATTCTGGCAGAAAAATCTTTGCTAATTCCATTATGAGAACTCCTAGTCATCTTCTCCTGCAGCGAAGAAAGGCTCGTGATAAAACTGAGAGCTGCCTTCTAATTAACTATGTGTATTTCTGAAACAGAAGGCTAATTCTCATTCATTTTGTCTGTGACTGTATTTTCAGCCCGTGCACCACAGCTCTGGGCCGCTCAGCTTTCTGACTGGCCCATTTTAAAAACCATAATCAGTTTTCTCTTCTTGCCAGCGATGTGACTTTTAATCTTCCCCTAATGATAACCCTCTGTTGTGAAGCCAGAGAGTCTGACTCACCTCCAGGCTATGCCAGGCTCGCACCACTGCGTCTTCGCTGAAGCTGCTGCCTCCGTTCCAGCTTCTGTACCATGAAAAAGTCTATTCACATCAATCTATATAGATAGAAAGAAGAGCTATTAAAAGTGTTTATAGATTATTATCATCTGACCTACACAACTCTGCCCATAGGACGCTACCACTGAGCTCGAACCCTGAGTTATGTCTTTTTGGAGGGTCTCAAAATTGTAGAGTTCCCCAAGTACTAAAACAATTACAACATCTCTTGCTTGGAGGGTCCAGTTCTCCACCTTCTCTGTGAGGAATAACACCCTTAGACTGTCCTGAGAAAACACTCAGCGTGGGTCACCTTCCTGCACCGATCTGGAGGAATTTGAGGAAACATGCCAGCCCTAGCTGGGTACGTTTGGATACTATTTGAGTTTTGTTGCAGCCTGTCCTAGACACAGATGGAGAGGGACACCTCTTAATTACCTCCCACTACACTCGAAGCCAAGATGCCAGGAAGGTGCACAGCACCTGAAGGAGGTCCGCACTGGCCAGATGCAGTGCACTGCTGGAGTGGGCAGAAAGCCAGGGCTCAGCAAACTATGCACAAGTGGCACTCGAATCGGTGCCGAATCTTGTTCCCCTCGGACACCTCAGCATGAGCTTTCTCCAGTGGCTTGCTTTAATATCGTGCTCTGTGAGACGGGTCATGTTTTCCCTTGAGGGCAAATTCCTCCTGGGCTTTGGCCAACCTCCATGGCACAAGGATATTGATCCAGGAGGGGGCAGACACTTACCTCCTTCTTACCTGGCAATCTTGGAGTCCAGAGGACACATATTTAAACGATAATTATGACTAGGAGTGAAAAAGGCCAGCAGGGACTGTAACCACTGACCCTAGGAGAGGCTCTTGCTCCCTGTGAGCAAATAAATATGGCGTAATGCGTCCTTCCCGATGGGTCGTCCATCACGAAGTTATCGGTGAGGTAAAGATGTAACGGGACCCCAGAGAGAGGGACTGGGCAAAACAGGCCAGGCATGCTACTCCCTGAAGCCGCATTTGTAGATATATAGTCTGGGTTATTTACAACAGTTGTGAAGAGGCTGCCAGTATTTCACTTACCTTTATGAAGAAAATGATTTGCTTTGAAGACCCCCGGGAAGGCTTCAGCTCTTGGGAGACTTTCTTCTGTTTGTTCTCCGACTGAGAAGAAACGAGTAAGTTTTATTATCGCAACGAAAAGGAAAAGGCATCTGAAAATGCCTCAAGTTGGGTGGTGTTTCTATGACGGACAATAGCTGTATCTCCTTCACTTCTCATGGTTGTTCTCATGCTTGAGTCCACCAAAGGCTGGAAAAAAAAAAAAAGAGGCCCGCAGAGGGCCGGCAAGCTGCCCAAGGTGGGGAGGAAGTCTGCAGAGGCGGAAAGCCCTTGGCTTTGCAATCCTGCCCCTCTGCTGAGCTCGTGCGGCTATAAGTCATTCCCTACGAATGATTTATGTGCGGTACATGGAGGCTCGAAAAGCCCTGGCCGAGGTAAAAGCCCCAGCGCCAGGGTCGTCGGGAAATAATAAGCAACAAATCTATCTCTGGCGATTTGACCTTTCAATTAAGGAAGATGGGAAAAGGGCTCACGGGGTTGACTGACGAAATTAAATTGAAAAGTCACATGAGGCGCTGGGGCAGAGGCAGGGAGCACGCCAAGATTTCCTGCTCCCAGCCCAGGACCTAAAACTCCTCCTTTCCTTCCATCTCTTCTAATGTCTTTTTTTTTTTTTTTGGCTTATGAAGGCGTCATGAACAGCTTTTCATTTTCTTGAATTCCTTTGTAATTGAAATGACTGAATTTTTGCAGTTCACTGAGATTACTCCCTGCCCAAAATAGAGTGCTCGGCTTGCCGTCTCTATTTCCCAGTGGGATAAGTCACTCTCAGGATTAGGTTTCCAACGCAGTACTTTCACCCCTACTCTGTCTATGCATTTGCTCCCCTGCACAGCCGTTTTGTGCCTTCGTGCTGCAGAGAGGCCCAGAAGATGCTCTTTCATTACGCCTGCGTCGCTAATGGCCTTGCACAGACCCGAACGTACTAAATCTTATTCACAGCACCATAATCCAGCATTTCAGCCCTCTTTGCCGAGTTTGGTTCGGGCCAAGAGTGGTCCCTTGCAACAAAGGTGTCTGATGCGAAAGTATTAAACAGTTATTTCCATGTCTTTGGGCAAGTCTGGTTTCCGATGAAGCCGAGCAGCGTGCAGGCTGTGCATGTAACATCTCTCTTATCTGGGTTCATGGAAAACTCTGCAGGTTTGCTGTGCTGTCAGCTTTCACGGCTAGAAATCCTCACTAAAAGATGTTGTCTCTGTCCATAAATCCCAATGCAGCAACTTGGAGAGAGAGCTGGATGCGCGAAGGAAAAGCGGACAAGCACAGACTGCAAGAAGGGCTCCTTCGCGTCTCCTGGCCCATCCGTACTTCGGCAGCTGGGCTTTACATCTCCTTGCCAGAAATGTTTATTTTTAGACACCTGAGAGCAAACCAGAGCTCAGCGAGAGACAAAGGAGTCTTGGGCTCCAGTGCTCTTTGGAGAGCATCAGTGCTCTGTGAAGGCTAAGGTTAGACACCTGCGCGTAGTCAGTAGGTTGAGATCTGCAAGAATAAAGCCTCGTGCATCACCTGAGTAGCAGCACGTACATGTACCTCGAACTCCAGCTGTTGTGTTTCAGGTTCCTCGGGTGCCCGGAGATTTCCGTCATGCTGTCTCCCTTGGGGGAAACTGAATTGGAGAGCAGAGAGCATAGGGAAAGCCACTGCTTATCCTCCCACCGTTTGCATTTGACGGTTGCAACGTTCATGCAGCTCAGCTAGCTCCTCCTGAGGTTGATTTCTAACCACCGCTGATTGCAGGCAGCGGGAGAAAAAAAATGCCACAGGACTACAGAAACAATCCAGACCAAACTGCAATAGCAAATAAGCAACAAACTCTCCCCGAGCTGGTGACACGCTCCCAACTTGTCACTCACTACAACATGGACCCAACCGAACCGATGGTGTGCAAGACAAGCAAAGGGAGAGTAACCGTGAGCGCGTGTGGGCAGGAGCAGGGGGACGCCTGGAAGGCAGCGCGGCGGGCAGGGAGCGTGGCTCATGTGCCATAGCCCTAGAGAAAGGCCGGGCACAGGCAACCCCCGAAAAGCTGCACCAGCGCCTTCGGAGACGCGTTGCGAATAGGGAAGAGAAATGCAGCAGATGCGGTATCTGCTGGGATAAGCAAAAAATTAAATGGTCTCAGGAAGCGGCTGTGCTAAAACTAAATTACTTTTCACGGCACCCACGGCCAGCTGCACTTAGCGTGATTGCTTTGGGCGGCCGCCTGATGTTGGATGGGTGTTTGGAAATGCAATCAAGACTCGGGGACATAAGCTGTGTCAATTAAATGAGGCCCAAGACCATCTTAATTCACGCTACTCAAGCTTTGCCCCCTTCCTTGCGGTCTGAGATATATACGTGGCAGGAATACTCACCGCGCCAGTCTCAGCCGTGCGCTCAGCATGGCCCAGCTCCCCTCCGCGTTGACTTTCCTCCATCCTGCTCCAAAGGTCGCATCCAGCCCTGTTTGAGGCCACAACAGCTCCCCGGGCTTGAAGAAGGCAAGCGCAGGCTGTTACCCCTGTGCATTTCACTGTCATTTGCCTGTACAATCAGGCATAATCATGCCATAACGACTTTTTACAGACAAACCATAGGTTACCTGGTGAACATACAGTAAATACAGCTCCCTCAAAAAGCAATTCATATCTGAGGTAACCACGTCACTCCAAATATTACCCAACCATGGCAGCTAAGGGCCTTGGGAATCTTGCACTGAGTTATATTGCACAGTGAGACCTTGCAAACCCGCCTCAGCTGAAACTGGTTGGGAGGAGGATGCAGGAGCTCCTGTGCCGCATGAAATGGTAAGGTGCAACCCCACAAGTAAGCCCTGCTGGACAGGAATTGGGGAAGGATGCAGGAGACCTTGCACTGAGTTACAGCACAAGCTGCGATCCTGCAAGCGGGCCCCGCTGCAAATTGGTTGGGGTGGGAAGGATGCAGACCTTGCACTGAATTGTACTGCATGGTGAGATCCTGCAAGTGGACCCTGGCTGAAACTGGCTGGAAGGATGCAGGAGCCCTTGCACTGAATTAAATGGCAGGGTGCAACCCTGCAAGTGAGCCCTGCTGGAAACTGGCTGGAAGGATGCAGGAGCCCTTGCACTGAATTAAATGGCAGGGTGCAACCCTACAAAGGGGGCCCTGCTGGAAACTGGCTGGAAGGATGCAGGAGCCCTTGCACTGAATTAAATGGCAGGGTGCAACCCTGCAAGTGAGCCCTGCTGGAAACTGGCTGGAAGGATGCAGGAGCCCTTGCACTGAATTAAATGGCAGGGTGCAACCCTGCAAGTGAGCCCTGCTGGAAACTGGCTGGAAGGATGCAGGAGCCCTTGCACTGAATTAAATGGCAGGGTGCAACCCTGCAAGTGAGCCCTGCTGGAAACTGGCTGGAAGGATGCAGGAGCCCTTGCACTGAATTAAATGGCAGGGTGCAACCCTGCAAGTGAGCCCTGCTGGAAACTGGCTGGAAGGATGCAGGAGCCCTTGCACTGAATTAAATGGCAGGGTGCAACCCTGCAAGTGAGCCCTGCTGGAAACTGGCTGGAAGGATGCAGGAGCCCTTGCACTGAATTAAATGGCAGGGTGCAACCCTGCAAGTGAGCCCTGCTGGAAACTGGCTGGAAGGATGCAGGAGCCCTTGCACTGAATTAAATGGCAGGGTGCAACCCTGCAAGTGAGCCCTGCTGGAAACTGGCTGGAAGGATGCAGGAGCCCTTGCACTGAATTAAATGGCAGGGTGCAACCCTGCAAGTGAGCCCTGCTGGAAACTGGCTGGAAGGATGCAGGAGCCCTTGCACTGAATTAAATGGCAGGGTGCAACCCTGCAAGTGAGCCCTGCTGGAAACTGGCTGGAAGGATGCAGGAGCCCTTGCACTGAATTAAATGGCAGGGTGCAACGGCTTGATTTGGCCAGGGCCCCGGGGTGGCGGGGGGGAGTGCGGGTCGCGGGCCTCTAATTCCCAGTGCTGTTTTCGCACTTCTCCGTCGCACCTGCCCTAGGTGCGGAGCCTGCCGGCTGTGGGCTTTGCTCATGTGAAAAGACTAAGACCTCTCCTAAGCCATCCATGTAAGAACTGGGAGCTGTGCAAACACGCAAGTGGGTTTTGCACGTTGCAAGTACATCCGTCCAAGTCAGCGGGATGACTTAACAGCACGCGCCGGCGAGCGTGTGTTAGGCAAGACAGGAAAAAAAGTGCCGCTCGGTGCCTTGGTTTGCATCGGTCGATTGCCGACGTAGTGTGATGGAGGGTCCTTCCCCAACGTGGCCTTGCATGAAGGCTCCCGGCGTGCAGGAGCGCCTGGGATGCAAAGAGAGGTGCTGCGGGACCGGACGGGAGGAGTTTTGGTCCCCAGGACGGCGGAGCGTTTATTCGGTAGTGCCGAGGTGGCAGCGGATGGCCAGACTCCCGGGAGGTGCAGACCCCCCCCCACCACCACCACCTTGCACCCAAACCATGATGCCCTACTAGAGGGAGCCAGCGGCAGGGATTGCAACGCCCTGATTTCATGCTGTGAAAGAAGTCCTCAATAATAACCAGATAATCCTGACCATGGGGCCTCCAGCCCAGGAAATTTGTATTAACCTAATAAGAGTTAAGCGCAGGTGCGGAGAGGTATGAGCTGCTTATTGTTTTACGGTCTTAGGAAGTGTCCGTTCCCTATCAGGCTGCGAGCAGACGGCAAGGGGCACCTTTCTTTAGTGACATGCCTTTAAAAGACAATCCAATTAATGCTGGCTTTAAGTAGGAAAGCCGGTAAAACTACTGGGCTACTTGCTATCGCGTAAGTGTGTCACCGTAATTAATCTAATAACCTAGTGATTACCTTGTTACAGGAGAGGAGGCTTTGGGGTTTTACGGCAAGGTGGGGATCTTGCAAGAGCAGGCTTGCAGTAATTTGCTTATTTGGTATCGGTGTGTTGTTTAAAATGAAGGACTTGTTGGGAAATGCAGATCTTTCAGCTGAGTTTTACTTCTCTGGGAACTGCGATTCCCGGTTTAACTACGTAAATGTTGACTTCCAAGATTTTCCCCTCGTTCTGCCCAAACCGAACGGTTCCAGGGTAAGAAACGTGACGTTTCAAAGAACGAAGCAATGATGGGGAGATAGTACGTGTATTTTTAGGCATGTATATTACCCGAATGTATTCAAGCCTGACTCTAAGCTATGATGAGATGAGTGAGAGCAGCCAGTGCTTTGCGCAGAGCAGAGACAAGGAGTAGTAGCAGCACTAGGACAGTGCTAGCATCACGTCTGACCGACGTCCGGGAGTTAGGCTACGGCAGCACGACGCAAAGGGCGCGCCTGGTGATCTCTTGCCTTAGGAGAAACGGGAGAGGTGACTCCTCACGTGGATGGTGTTCTCGGGCTGCAAATAAGCAGAGAATTTGGGCTCTGAATTCTGAAACATGTTTAATCTGGATTGAAAGCCCCCTGGAGCAGAAGCTTCTTTACGAAGCATTGATGCTCAGCATTTTCTGGCTAGAGAAAGGGAGCATGAAGCACTCCAAGTTGCCTTTGGCCCCACTGTGACTATTGCACCTGGCAAGGCAGGCTGCCCTTGATGTGCCGTTCTCCCCCGTGCCGTTTCTTCCTTTTCCATGCTGCTTGGAGGCATCGAGGCCTCCGGGGATGCTCGCTGTTGGCAGAGCGGTGCATTGCACCACGTGCTGCCCTCAGTCATTCTCGAGGCTTTTTTGGATTTGCTGGCTCCTTTGGGCTGCTGGTCCTCGTAAGGGAATGCAACCTGGCGGAGAGCAAGCCTGCTCCCGCGAGCCTTTTCCCTGGGTCTGCTGGCAGAAATCCCTGGCCGCCCGCAGCTCATGGGTGGAAAACCACTTTCGGCACTGCTGGGGATTTCCAGGAGGACGCTCGCGCAGGGGGTTGGCGTTCGAGGAGCCCGCTGGCAGCCAGCGCGAGGGATTTCGCGTGCAGAGCGATTTCGTTGTGGCTGCCTCTCCTCTGCAGCCGCCCCCCAGGGGGCGTTCAGGGGACCTGGGCTCTGCTCCTCCCCGTGTCCCTGGTAAGGTGCTTCACGCCTTGCGCCATGGCTTGTCCGCTCGGAAACGAAGCTACCTAGCATCCCAGGAACGTCCCTCCGTGCCATCCGCGTCGGCCTCTTGCTGCCTCCAGCCCAGTCGTGTCTGTGGGGAAGCCCGTGGCTGCGCCGTGCTGGGGAGCTGGAGAGTGGGAAGGAGGAAGGGGATGAGGTTGGACTGAACCCGTGCTGGCTCCGGCGTAGAAACGCTGAGTTGTGCCACCCACGCCCTCCACGTTACGTTCTTTTGCTTGTCCTTAATGAGAGATGGCAAGAGATTATCTTCCCCCTCATTACCTGTTGCTCAGGTTTTTTGGTTTATTGAGAGTCTAATTAACTTTTCTGCAGGAGCGCTGATGTGAATGATTTTTCCGTTTTGTCTGTGCGCTGGAGCTCCTCTTAGCCTCTTTTGCACTGGTTGTGCCATCACCGATAAACCGCCCGCAGTGTTATCTGAGGTTTCACTGGAGAGAGTTCTTACAAAAACAAAGGGTTTGGGAAAGCAAATAGAATAAATATTGGTCTGTTCTAACAGGAACTGAGCAGGAATTACCGTAGGGTGGTTGACGATACTATTATGTAAGTCTTGAAGTATTTCTCTTTAAAACATCTGCACATCTTGATTAGAAATGTGTAAGTACTATGAAAATACTGTGCTGAAAGTTATCCCAGCAGAATTAAGTAACCCTATTTAAAAAAAAAAGAAGAAAAAAAAAAGAAGAAAAAAGGAAGAAAAAACACAGCAGCCCAGTAGTAATATACAGCCATAAAAGAGACCCACCATCAGTGCGCAGAAAAGCTCCTTGCCTTGATGAGGAACAGCCTTTTCAGAAGACCATGCCCTGTTTTGCTAACCATTAAGCAAGTAAATGCAGGAGTTCACAAGCAGACTGAGGATGTTTCCATCCCCAGAACAAACCTGGGGTCTGAGTGGGTGGGACGTGGACCCACAATTCCAGGATTTTTGGCAGTGCTTGGCTAAAAGTCCTGTCTGCCCGTCGCCCTACTCCCCCGCGCTGTTCAGTGCCCTGGCTCTGCCTCTCAGGTGGGAAGCCACTGGGATGGGGCTTCCCGGGTGCAGATTTGCTGTTTGATTCAGCAGGGTTTGGGCTGCTGCGGAGAAAACACAGGCACAGAATCGCTGCGGTTGGAGGGACCTCTGGAGATCATCTGGTCCTGCTCAACCAGGGTCACCTAGAGCAGGCTGCCAGGACCAAGTCCAGTTGGGTTTTGGATATCTCCAAGAATGGAGACTCCACTACCTCTCTGGGCACCTCCCGATGATGAAGTGTTTTCTGGTGTTCCAGTGCAAATTCCTGTGTCCTCTTCCTTTCTCCACAATAAAATACTGTTCATCCGCAATGACTTTGAGAGGAAGATGGGTAGAAGCTGCTCCTTTGGCCAAGAGGCAATGGAGATGCTCTGCATGCATCTATCCCCTTGCTCGGCCTTCACGGCGTAACCTTGTGTGCACAGAAGTCTCCACGTGGACGCATCCTCCTGGTGGGATCTTGGCACGGCTACAACGGCGGAAAGAAAATGCCCTCCAGACTGCCACGCTCCAGAAAGCTGCAGGGATTTCCTAGTCTAAGTTGATTAAAACTGTTTTCCCATTAAGCTCAAGAGAGGGTGAGGTGGGCGCTTTCAAAGGGGCCTGATGGGTGGGAAGGTACAAGGAGACCAGACAATGGGACGGCACCGTCCGCCGGCGGGCCCTGCCTCACGTTTGCCCTCCCTCTCTGCAGCAACAACAACCCGTACACCTCCTTCGGGGCCACGCTGGCGCGGGACGAGGAGCAGAACCTGTGGAGCACCCCCCACGACGTGACCCACACCGAGGCGGACGACGACCGCGTGCTCTACAACATGATCGTGGTCAGGAACCAGCTGGACACAGACTCGGAGGTAAGGAGGAGGCTGCTGCAGTAAATACAGGATAAAACGGAGTGAGAAAAAGACTTATTTTGCATAGTCAAACACTAGCTCCAACATGCTCGTGAGGTCCTTCAGCCGTCTTTTAAGCCACTAGAGAGACCCAGCACTTGTGGGCAGTCACTCCCTGGGAGCAGACGGAAGGGAAAAAAAAAAACCCAAACATGGACAGTGTAGACAGCAGGTCCTATCTGCTATTTTTTTGGTCCCGTGTTTCTCTGTTTGTGGCCTTGCACTTTCGCCTGGCCCGCGGTTGCCCTCGGTCCTGCTGGCTGGGCAGCAGGCCCCCCGCCCCGCCCTGCCGCTCTCCTGGCACGTCAGTCAAGTCAACAGCTCCTCTGGTTGCTCCCAGGGTTAATTATCGAGGCCAGGAGAACTGGCGCAGAAGCGGGGGGAAAAAAAAATCACTGCTGTTATATAAGCGGGGCTTTTTGCAGCCACCCTGTGCAAAGGAGATTCCAGTGGCCTCTGGAGGATTAGGCACGGACTAAGGAAAGCAGTGACACATTTTTCCACCCCCCCACCCCCCCACTTCCCCTCTTTTCCGATTGCGGTTTAAGACTCCAAAGTGCTTTCCGCAAAACCCGGAGGCTTCGTGTTTCACGTCCGCAGGATCGGAAAGCCAGCCCTTTTCCTCTGAAAGCAGCAGCTCGCTCGGTTTTCACTGGGAGGCTTCATCTCCAGCGGCCGAGCTGAGACAAAAAATTAAAATTTTTAAAAGTCAAAACGAGGCAATGCAATTTTTTTTTTTTTTTCTTTCTGGGGCGGGGGGAGAATTAACGCTGGTGTTTACAACAGACAGCACAAATTTCAGCCCTTTTTGTGCTTATTTGGCCTGAAAAACCTAACTTTCCTGCACCCAGTCCCGGGCGCAGAAATCTGCCCTTACGCCAATGAGCGTTTTAAAACTTAGGCCAGTCTGCTTCGCCCTCTGCAGCTAATGAGAGGGGAAAAAAAAGTCCCATTGCAAAACGGCACCGGTGTAATCGGCTGTGGGGAGGGGCTCGGTTCCTGCTCCCGGGGGAGCAGATACAGCGCCGGCCAGGAGGGGCCGCGGGGAGAGCGTGCGGATGCGGCAGAAGAGGGGATGTCCCCCCGCGCCGGGCACGGAGGAGGACTGCATTGTTATTTATGCAGCGCACAGTATTATAAAGCCGTAGGTCCTTTTTTAGCTTAAAATAATACGGGAGGGAAAACTAGTCCCTCTATTTCCAGTCCTTGATTTAATGCAGAAGTGGCAGCGTGCCGTGTGCTTATTATATGCTGCACCATTGCACCCCGTTATCGCCTAACCCTGTCTAGGACAGGGTTTTGTGAGGATGCCAAGGAGCAGGTAATCCTGTGTCATGGGTTTGGTATCTGCATGACCCCACCTTTGCCTCCAGGCAGTTGTGTTGTCCTTAATCTGGCTAACCCACTCCTGCGTTCCTGTATGCTTTTTTTTTTCTTCTTTTTTTTTATTATTATTAAATTATTATTATGGTAGTGGCGCTGTGAGCCAGGCTAGGAGAAGCGGTGGGCCAGGATGCACCGGTGACTATGTCCAGCCTGCGGGGGAACAAGAGAGAGCCCTGTCCCCACCAGGTATTGCAGCAGAATAACCGACGTACAGTCGTACCTTTTGGGCAACGATGCCAGGAATTTTGAATAACAGCACTGATGAATTGATGAAAAAATATGTTTTCCTCCCTCATACTCTTCCCTATAACATGAGCAAGATCCTACAGTTTCTTTGCTGGAAACGACCTGGTTCCAAGCTCAGGCCTGGGCTGCGGATCGCTATCAAGGAAGCGAGCTGAGCGGCGTTCGCGAAGGCCGGGTGCTGCCAGCAGGAAGTCTGGCGATGCGCCTGGACAGAGCAGCTCGCCTGCGGTCACACCGTTTGGTGTTTGAGGCATGGGAAAATGATGTGATTTGCCGGAGGACGTGCAGCAAGAGCGGGGAATATCTCCAGGAGTGCAGCCCGGCGCCCTCTGCATTATCCACGAGATGCTTTTTTCCCTGTCTGGTGCATACAATATTTCACTTCTTCCCTCCTGTCCTTTTTGGTAGAAGAAGGAGCGGGTAATGGGGCAGAACCCAATTCCCCGGCCCCACACCAAATCCACGCAGAGCAGTTTCCTTCCCCCGGCCTCTCGGGACTGCCCTGCTCCTGGAAACGTGGCAGCTCCGGCTCAGGCTTGGGGTGATGGTAGCTCATGTAAGGCTGGCCGGGGTTGCTCCACCCTGCTTCTCGTTGAACCAGGGCAGCGAGCTCTTCAAGGCAGGGACCGTGACTTCTTGGGTGCGCCCATTTCCTGCACACTTGCTCGTCCTGCTGGATGCCCTTTGCTTGGAGTGATTGCTAATAGCAATGCTGGGCTTGGAGAAGTCAGCCGGAGCACCCTGCGATTGCAAAAGCCACTGTGCAATAGGTACCTAAGCTGAGGTTCACTGGAGCCTCCTAAAACTGGGGACGTTTAGTCTGAGACAGGCAGGACAAATCTCCAGCTGGAGGTGTCCAGCTCTGTTGCTGGGTCCTGCAGTGGCTCACATGAGATGCTGAGCTTGGAGGGGCCTCCAGATAGGTGGGTTATGCCTGGGGGCCAATGGGTCCACGCGAGGAGCCTGGTGAATGGCTGCAGTCCTAGGGGAGGACTGAACGACTTGCGACGACATGCTTTTCTCTGTCGTTGGGCGGTGAGTGCAATGTGCTCGGATGCACCTTAAGAAGAAAAAGCATGAGGAAGAGTGTGGGGAGAGAGAACCAGAAAAGCTGTAGCTGAAGGGCAGGCTTAAGGACGCTGGTAAAACTAATGTAACCTTAGGAGATCAAAGCAGTGCTCCAAGCTCTTTAAAGTTTGGGTCACTATTGCAAATATGGAAAAAACCTGTTTTTTCCTGCAGGATGGCTCCTGCCCTGCAGCGCTGTCAAACCTGTCGGTGGTGGAAGGTAAAACCCCCAGATCTTCTGGAAGTGAGTGGAGGAGCTCGAGGAAAGCAAGCCGTTGTTTGAGATCCTGCACAGATGCAGCCAAGTCGCTGCTCTGGCATGTACCCTCCTAGTGGGGAGAAAAGTGTTTTATAGGGGAAAACGGGGGACTATTACAGCTCTGGCAAGCCTCAAATGTTAACATCTCTGCTAGGGGCCAGGCTAACAGAACTGTGCTGGCAGGATCCTCCTGGCAGGTCCAGTAACAGGCTGACAGGGCCTATTCTTCTATTTTTTCATGCTCTCCCCCAGGTGTTTTTTTGTTTTTAAATACATTACAGAGAAGCTCAATATTGCAACATGGCCATGCTGAGGCATACAGAAATGATGAGATTTGCCCGGGGTTGTGGATGCCGGTCAGAGAGGCTGAGCTGTGCTGGGTCTCCCAAAGTCTTGGGCAAATAAATAAACCAGTGATCCACCAAGGCCCAGACCTCCAAAGGTCTGCAAAAAAAAATCTGTGAGCTCCTGAAAACCTCCCTTGAAACTGAATCGAATTCAGGATTGTGCTGAGCTAGGGTGCGGAAAGAAGGTTCAACGTATGAAGGTGGATCTAGAGTTTGTGCTGCTCGGCTACTTCAAACTGGGTCAGCCCTGGAGCTCAGTGAGGAGCATCGCTGGACTGGTATTTTGCAGTCTGTTCCCAGTAACTGTGTTTTGACCTAATTTCCTAAATAACTCTTGAACAGAACGGTGATACAAATTACTTTCAAGGGCATAATGGAAAGCACTTTGCTAGAGGATTGCTTTGGCAACACAGAGAAAACTACCTCCCAATTAGGAAATTTCCATATGAGCAGAGAGGAAAAATTGGACAGTGCTTGCCTGTTCTCTTTGGCACATTTCCCCCCCCACACCCCCACCCCCGATTTCAGTTCTGTGCAGCCTGGCTTATATTTAATGCCTAGGATTTCTCCACTTCCGTTTGGCACTTGCAGGCTTAGCATACGCACCAGTGAGCCTGGGGAAGTTTTCCAGGTAAATCTTTCCCTGGAAGACTGCAGAACTAAAGTGATGCCAGATAACGCACCGGGTGCAGGTACACAAGGGTATACGCAAGCTGGCTGAAATACATTTGGTTCATACACGAGCTACCGCTCCATGATTTGGAAGCAAACCTGGATGGCACTGAACTCCTGCTGGGGACGCGGGCGTCAATTCAGCACTTACCTGGCCTCGTAGGAACCTGCTGTCATCTGGGGAGAGATGCCGATGCTCTTTTCCCGAGTTTTTCAAAGTTTCCTAACTGCATAGGTGATTTTGCTGGGTCTCTTCTTCCTCTGCTGCTCCAAAACTGTTTTTGACTCATGCGCAAAGGTTTTTCTCAAGACCCTGCTGGTACACATTGTGCCCTGGTGTTTAGGTTTAAAAGGGCAAAACCGATGGCAAAGAACATCTGTGATGGTGGCCGCACGCGAGGAGCCTTGCCTGTCCCGAAGAGCTGGCATCGAACGAGGCAGGAGAGGAGGCGGAGAGGCCCCTTTTGGAGCGGGGGTGAGCGCTGGGTCCAGCACACCGAGTCTTCGTGTGTGCCCTCCGCGTGGCAGCGAGCACGGAGCTAACCCCAGCCCCATGATCCTCCTCCGCTATTACAGGGAGATCCTCTTTAGAATAACTCTGAGGATGGGAAGATGCTCTTACTTCGTTCCTCATTAGTGCGACGTGGAGGATGACCCCTGCCCACAGCTTTTAGGGTGTCCCACCCAGGGAAACTTGGTGGCTTCTGAGGCTGATGGAGAACGTGGCATGTCCCTTCTTAGAAACTGGCCCGTCTTTGCCCAGATTTCATGATGTTGTCTCTGGTTGCTTCTCAATGACTGACACGATGTACTGACACTATGTACTCCTCCTCCCAGCTTTCTCTGGTGAAACGTCCAGCACCACGTTCAGGAGAGAAGAGGGTGAGGGCTTCCTCCTGGAGCACCACGATCATCCTCCCCACCGCCTCAGCCTGCTAAGTCAGCACCATAAACCCTCACTGGAATCAAAACGGACGTGTCAGTCGTGTCCATTAAAGCGCTGATTTATCTATGCAGCTGGTTGGAGACACGCAGCTCATTTTCCCAGCAACGTGCCCAAACTGGTTTGCTCTCTTTTCTGCTTAAGGCTGTGGGGTCATAAGGAGGCTGAGACGTTTCCAAGGGAGTGCTGCCAAAAGTTTAAAATTTTCAAGGCTAGGAGAAACTTCCCACAAAGCTTTCTTCAATTACAAAAAAAAAAAGAAATAAAGGGGAAAAAATCTTTTTCACGGAGAGGAATTCACTTCCTAACCACGAGCCTGTGTCACGAGAGAAGAGACTTGTTACTGCCTCCTCCCTTTTTCTGGTTAAGGATCGAAACGGCGTTTTGATCCGCGGCGCTAGTGGTCAGGTGCCCTTATGTGCAAACAGCAAAGCCGTTTGCAAGTACCGACGTGGTCAGGAGAGCAGCTCGCCGCCGGTCAGTGAAACTAGCTCATCGTGAGCACCGACACTAAGCTGAAAAGGAAGGGTTTTGCTGTCTCCAAGCTGGGCGGATGTGCGGCTGGGAGCAAGCCGCTGCACGCTGATCTCAAATTCCCCTGCACCTCTGACCTAAATTCACAAGTATCTTAACCCTGCTGACGGCTTTCTTCCAAATCGTAATCTCAAAGGAGCTGCTGGAGCTGTCACTGACCAACCAGAAAACAGGCAGGTCATTTAAATCTCTGCAGTCTTGGCGCGTTGGCTGCGTTCAAAAGAAACGCTAAAAACAAAAACCTCTAGCTCTTTACCACATCAGATAGGGGGGAGGTTAGGGGGCAAATCACATCTGGGTGCCCTGAGCTAAGGTATTGACGGAAATTGGTTGCTTAAAATCCAAACGATGATCTGCAGGAGGCTTATGCAGGCCCCTGGTTTTACGGTTCTCACAAACGTGGGAACATACACAAACATATCAGTTGAGGTCGCAGCCTAAATCCCTTTGGGATGCTGGAAGTACAGATCTCATACAGGGTCCTGGCTGTTGCCTGGGAGAGCAGGTTTGAATTGAGTCATACAGTTCAGTGATGTACTCCACCGAACTAAATACTTTCCTTAGCCTAACATGACCAGCATGAGTGCGCTGAGTTCCTTTTCTTAAGAAAAAAAAATCTCTCAAAATCAGGATTTCAGGCTCTTTGGGACAAAAATGTCCCAAAATGGAACAGAACATAAATGGAATTTGCAAATCCACTCACATCCTGATGCGTAACGCTGTATGGGGCCGTGGTTGAATCGTGATGGCTGACGGGTGGTCACTAACGGGCAGTAGGCTCATCCCCAGAAATCAGTAGGGCTAAATGGGGCAAGCAAACTCTCTGAGGCACCACGTGTCAGGAGACGAGCTGGATTTCTAAAGCATAGCCTATGCTCTTGGATCTTCTTCACAGCTTGAACCCAACATGTCCGGTAGGAAGATCGCAGCGAGATGATACAGATTAACACCTATTTATTCTACAAGAACACATTTCTGTAATCTGCTGCCCAGAAATGAAATTAAGATTGTTCGCGCAGGGAAAGTATTTCAGTGATGTTGCAAGCAGCACAACCCGCTGCCTGGACACTTCTATCAATGCATCTTCTTACATGTGTAAATTTATTAAACTATTCTTGCAAAAATGCTCCTGCTTTTATTCCAGAATACGTATGTTCCCATAGGAACGTATACTTGTATAAACAGACATGTTTACTTGCATTGGTATAACTTTAATAAGGAACCTCAAAACCTTCCCCTATAGACAGTGCCCCATTATGCACATACAAAGCTTGAGGTCAAGTCCAAGTATATAGACTGTATGGTTAACTGAGGCATTAACTACGTGAACAGGCAATCACTAAGACTAGTTACTATGTCAAATGATTCCAACTGAAACCTCAAATATCTAGTTGCATACCTCTTCTCTTGTTCTCTTCTCAAAGGCTGTACTCCAGCCTTTAAAAAAGTCGAGTTTTGTTGTTCTAAAGTGCTTTTGAAATCCTCTCCATTCTGGTTAAATGCCTAACAGAGGGCTGAGCAGCTTGCAGAATCCACCGTATGCCTGTCCCAGATATAGCAATAGCTTTTTTTCAAACTTCTAATTTCCTAAGGGCCATCATCATGCCATTTTCACTGCAAGTGAATGCAAACAAGGTGTTGCAATAGTTGATAGAAGGTAATTATTAATATATGGTCTTGGTTTCTCAAGCTGCAAAGGTCAAATAAGGTGTCTTCACAACCTCAGTTTTTGATGCTAACTTGGATGTCAAGGTTTGTTTACCTCATACGAGCTTTGGACTAAAGGAGCAGGCCTGAAATTGAAGTGCACATTTGGAAGTTTATGTTGTCCTCTGGACAAGGACGGTGTTATAATTTCCAACAGAGAGCAGAGCTGCAGTGCTATATCCTCCCTGCCTCTGACCGAGGAGACCACTGTGGTCATAAGCCATCAGCTAAATTCTCATAAGCTAAATTCTGCCATCTGATTTCAAGCTAAATCAAAGTCTGTGGAGCTGCCAAGAAGGTTACTTGTTCTGTATATGCCAGGGAGATACAGAGATGCCGCACCAAACATTAAGCTAAAATATTCTACGGTGGTCAGTGTGCTTTCTTCCAGCAGTAACGGAAGTCTGGCCGTTGACCTTCGTGCTGATGCCTCAATGCCAACATCAGCAGTTTAACTCTGGCTCCGTTTCTAAAAGTCCAGATTCCTAGAAAAGCAACGGAGACCCCACCACATGCAGATGACTGAGTGTCTGTTATCCTTTGCTTTGCAGGAATGGCAAAAGCTCAACTACGATATTTATACCTTACGACAAACCCGAAAAGAAGTGAGAAGCAGGTGGAAACACATTTTGGAAGATTTAGGTAAGCTAGAGGACCAAAAAATGCCTTTTTCGTGGAACACAAAGTGGCACAGGATGGGCACATGCAGTTGTGCTGAAGGAGAGGTCTCATGATTGCTGAGGATTCAGACAGTTATGCAAAACCAGACTGGTGGAGGAGAAAGAAAAGGGAAGATTGATACCTGGGAATTCACCCTGCATTTTTATAAACAAGATAAACTTGGAGGAATGAATATTCCTTTCAGATCTGAACATAGATAGACATTTTTCTTCCTTAGCTCGTGCCAGCAGATCTGAGGCAACCCACCCACTTTGTTTGCTCCTAAGTAAATTTAAAATATTCTTTCACCTGCAGAAAATGCTCAACAGGGGCCCTCCCAGGCCTGCTATTTTCTCTCCTGCAAGCAGCGAGCTCCGGCTGCGGGTGCTACGCTCTCTGCCAGGGAAAGGTAGTGGCCACGCGTGATGCCAGCCCATTGGCAGAAAGGCTCGCATGAGTCACGCTGTGGAGGTGGCTGGTGGCTAGTGAGAGGAGGACGTGCGACTTGAGCGTCCTTGCCTGGCTTGGGGCTGCTCAAGGACATTATCACTAGGAGCAGATGCGATTTGCATTTTGGGTGCTCCCACCCCACCTGCCACTCCAGGGTCTGGAGGGCAGGATACATTTGTAACTAGGGACCGGTGATCATCTTTGTCAAGATGCTCACGTAGCCTCCCCACACCAAACACAATGACTCAACATCCTCACGTGTGTTACCCTACATTAACAAACATAGGCTTCTACCTCACCTCCACAGTTGCTCCAGCCTGTATTGCAGAGGATGGTGAGGTAGCTCAAGGCCAGGGATCATATGGGCTTCGTGAAACCAGATGCAAAACCAGATGTGCAGCCCTGTATCTTTGGTTATCAAGACCTGTGCTGTAATCATAAGACCACCGTTCTTTCCCTCTAAGAGTTTTTAGATAAGATGTTTTGCCATCAGCTCCCTGGAGCTGAATGAAGAGTTAATGATAGAGTTAAAGATCTCCTGATCATCCCCTAATATTCTCCTCTCCCTTTCCTTCCCGGGATACCCTTCCTATGGGAAATGCTGACTGCTTCAGGAGCAATTATCCATGTATTTATTACTGCAGCAGATTTTTTTATCGCTTTGACCCAAGACCTGCTGACAATATATAGCTCTAATCACCGGGATCCTCAGGACCCCCAACCAACCCTGAACGTACTTGCTGAAGGTACATCAGGAGCATATAGGAGCTGAACCAACATACAGAGGGGGTGGGGGGCAAGTGTTAGCATCCCTTCATTGGAAAATTAGCAAAAAAAAAATTAGCTGAATTTTTTTTAACGCCTTTTTTTTTTCCCCCTCACCAGCAAGCTCATGCCTACACCAATTGCAGACATGGGGGCTGCCTCAGGGAAACACTAGCTCGTGTTAACAAGGAGGGAAAGAAGCAGCAAAAGGTGGAAGGGGAATAAGGAACGTCAAAGAGCATGCAGGACTCAGGGATGACCATTTCTGCCCTAGGTTTCCAGAAGGAAGCAGACTCCCTATTATCGGTAACCAAACTCAGCATTATCAGTGATTCTCAGAACATGGGCAAAGCCCGGGAGATCCTGCTAAAGCTCTCCGAAGAGACAAACATCTTCCCAACCAGCTGGGAGCTTTCTGAGCGGTACCTTTTCGTGGTGGTGAGTAGTCCGGAGCATGCCTTCCTCCCCACCTCTGCAAGCGAGGTTAAAGGAGGCAGTAGGAGGAGGTGAGCTGCATTGCAGCAAGCTCACATGCATGCTAGCCTCCATGCCAGATATTGCACTTATAGCTCACCTGTTGAGCTTTTTTGGAAATATCCATGCTGTAGCACCATCAGTCCAGTCCCTCGAGTTACTCTAGGCCTGTCCATGGGGTCCTCTTGCAGCTAGGTGACTGAAGGGGGAAAAGATAAGAACTAATGCCTGACTTCACCCGAGAGCCATCAGGAGAGCTGCCTTGGAGGGAAGATGTTGAACAGGGAGGTGCCACTGACTGAGGCAGCTGATAATGACTGCAAAACTCCTTTGCTTTGGCAGGATCGGCTTATAGCCCTTGATGCTGCAGATGAATTCTTCAAGATGGCCAGTGTGGTGTATCCCAAGAGACCCAGTGGGGAAAGAGGGGATGACA